ATATATATGTTAACTATCAAGTCCTATGTAGGGCCTTTGTTCTATGTATGTCATTTTAGCTTCTTGTCCTTTTGCTCCTTCAACGTGAACCAATTAATCTTTGCAACAGTGCTTTGACAGATTTTCATTGCACTGTGTAAACTATCTTAGATGACCTTTTCTTTTGTTTATGCTTGCTTGTATATTGCAAAAGAAAAAGGGAAAATATTCCTCATTTCGTACGATCCCTCATATTTACTTATCTCTATTATTTGTTATTCTCCTCCTCTTTTACTCTGTTGTATTCTTGTATCTTGATGTCGTCAACCCTAGGGCGCACTAAAGTTTGTGTATTCTTGTTTATCCCTCTTACTATGACTTTCATTATTCATTTATTTTCCCATTTTCTTGCCTTGACATCTTTGTTTTTTCTTTTTGCCCAAACCTCATTCTACAACGTTACATGTTACATCTTGGTAATAAATGTTTATAATTTATATGTTATTCTTGGCAGGTGGGTTGCAACCTCATTGGATTTTGACAAGGATTATGAGGCTAGTGTTTTTGAGACAACCATAAGGTTGCATTATAAGGTTTAATATATGGTTGATTTTAATTATTTTCGGCACCTGGGCTTGCACTTTATTTTCCTCCTCTGACAGCAGATTTTCTGATGTATCGTGTCTATTGTTTTTCTGAAATTACCAGAGTTGTAGGTGGACTTCTCAGTGCATATGATCTCTCAGAAGATAAACTTTTCCTTGATAAAGCTAGAGAGATTGCAGACAGATTGCTGCCTGCATGGGACACACCTAGTGGGATCCCTTACAACATTATCAACTTGGCACATGGAAAGCCGCACAATCCTTCATGGACCGGAGTAAGTGGTGAAAAAGAGCTACCATTTTCAGATAGTCTCTTGTTATGATATAATAACATTAACCTAAGTTGAGTTTATTCACTAATAGTTGCATGCATAGATCTCTTTCATGATTTATCTGAAACATTTGAATATTTACAAGTAGTGTTTTAAAATTTCATTTGATAAATTTTTGATATTTTAGTTCATCATGTCTTTAGGGTGAAAGTATCTTGGCAGATTCTGGCACAGAACAGGTGGAGTTTATTGCTCTTTCTCAGAGGACAGGAGACCCAAAGTACCAGCAGAGGGTATATATACTTTCTTATTTACTAGGTTTTTTTTTCCTTTCCCTGGTCAAATAGCACATTGCAGCACGTTAACGCAGCCCATGAAGTTAGCCATAGTATGAATTGTTGCGCATATTAACATGTATACAAAAGATAGATCAGTGACTGTCATTTCATTGGTGTGAAAAACTAATTACTTGTGATTCCTAGGCTGAGAATGTTATAGTGGCGCTTAACAAAACTTTCCCTGATGATGGGTTGCTTCCTATTTATATTGATCCCGAAAGAGGAAGATCAGGATATTCCACTATAACCTTCGGTGCAATGGGTGACAGGTAAGCATTAATTTTTAATATGAATTATGTAATTTTCAAGATTCAGGTTTCATTAGGTATACTTGTTGTGAGTGGCTTAAAACAATGTTGGGATTAACTTTAGGCAATTGTTTGCAGCTTCTATGAATATTTACTCAAAGTCTGGATACTGGGGAACAAAACTTCAGCTGTAAAGCCTTATAGGTAAGAAGTTTGTCTTTGTCTTTTGATGATTATAACCACTTTTCCACAAAATGTTCCATTTGGTTTCAAAAGCTATGGGAAGCATATCTACTTGAAAGACCCAATTTGCCATAGAGCTTAACAATAGAAAAACCAAAAAGGCATCACACAGCTTTTGGCTCTGGTACTATGACCTATATTCTTTAAGGGCAAAAAGTCCTGTACGAGGCTCAAAAAGTCATGTGGTTCCTCAATTTTAATTTATATTTGAACCTTTTCTTTTCTAAAAGTCTTGTTTTTGAAGTGGATATGTGGTCATGGTCTTTAAGTTTGTCTTGATGTCAAAATTCTTGTGGAATGTTGGAAGCAGAGATATGTGGGAGAAATCAATGAAAGGTCTGTTGAGCTTGATCCGGAGAACAACACCATCCTCTTTTGCATATTTATGTGAGAAGAATGGAAACACTATGACAAACAAGGTAAATTATTGATTGCAGTTGCAGTATCATTGAATGCCATGGCGATAATTACTTTGTTACATTTTAACTAGCATTTCCTTTGCATATAAAAATGCAGATGGACGAACTAGCATGCTTTGCTCCAGGAATGCTGGCTTTAGGGTCATCTGGTTATGGTCCTGATGAATCTAAGCAATTCTTATCACTTGCAGAAGAGGTATTACTTCCGTGAAAGATTTGAGTTTCACCTTTGGAATTTTAAGGCCTATTTTGAACGCATATTCCATGTCAGTTGGACAAGCTCTATTGAGTGAGATAGTATGTGTGTGTTATTCTGCACAAAACTTTTTTCTTATTAGCAAAAAGTTACAAATAAAGCTTGTAAAATTGTTTTACCCTTTGAACCTTTGACTGATTCTGCAAGCCTATTTTCAGCTTGCTTGGACATGCTATAACTTCTACCAGTCAACACCAACAAAGTTAGCTGGAGAGAATTATTTCTTTCATGATGGGCAGGTTAGTTATCCTGAGTTTCGTTTAGACTACGAAATATAGTTAATATTTGCTCAGAGGTTGGTCTATGTTTGAAATTTCCAGGACTTGAGCGTGGGTACGTCATGGAATATATTGAGACCAGAGACAATTGAATCACTTTTTTACCTCTGGCGTTTGACTGGCAACAAGACATACCAAGAGTGGGGCTGGAATATATTTCAGGCATTTGAAAAGAACTCCCGCATAGAGTCAGGATATGTTGGACTAAAAGACGTATGCACTTCTTAAACCCATAACTAACACTGCATCTGCATTCGAGTTCCTTCTACGTACCTTTTATTGCAACTTTTTCTATTGTATTTCATTCCTTGAATCTCATGAATATTTGAACAAATCAAAGCTACTTACTCTTCAGTATCTTAAGTTCGGAGCAGGTGAAATAAATTTTGTCTTTTACTGATTTTGCGGCTTTTCATTTATGCCGGTTGTTGGTTGTTTCAGGTTAACACTGGTGACAAAGACAACATGATGCAAAGCTTCTTTCTTGCGGAGACACTCAAATATCTCTATCTTCTATTTTCGCCATCCTCTGTCATCTCCCTAGACGAATGGGTTTTCAACACGGAAGCTCACCCAATAAAAATTATGGCCAGGCATGATGCAGACACATCTGGAAAAGCAAATGGGAACGATAGACCAAAGATTAGATTGCGCGGGAGAAAGGAAGGTCGATCACGAGATTAATAGGTTTTCTATAATCCTAGTGTAATTCTAGGGTCCAAGTAGATGAAGGGGCTAAGATAGTAAAATACATTAGTCTGTTGAGATTCGATGTCCGCTTTTGTACAAGGAGGAAATGATTCGGCTCTACAAATTTGGCCTGGTGGTGGAAGTTGTATTCTATGGTAACATACGTATGCTCTTATGTCAGTGGTTACTCCTCACAGGAAAAAATGGATATTCCTAGCTCTTATTACCCATTTGGGAATATGGATCAACATTTGTAATTTGATGGAGGAATGTTTTGGTTTGAATTTCCCCCTCCATTTGATTTTTGACATTTCAATGGCACTCATTTGATTATTTCCACATCATCTCTCTCTCTCTCTCTCTCTCTCTCTCTCTCTCACACACACACACACACACACACACACACACACACACACGGGGGCATTGGGCTTTACTTGGAAATGTGGTGGTATGTTTATAATTTGAATATGTTTGTAATCTTAGACTTTTTGTTTTTGACAAACGATAAATAATCTTACATTAAATTACGGGAAGGGAGATTCAAGCAAGAGACATCGGGTGCAATTGTCTCCTCCGATCATCTCCATGAAGTCTAGCCCTTGTTTATATTCATCTCGCACGAGAGTCACAGCGTCATCGTAAGGAATCCCTTCATGAAGGAAATACAAAGCTAGATTCCTGCACGTGTATGAGCCAGAGTAACAATATGTTCTGCCTGTTCATACGATGTCGTAAGAACAGAAATACAAAGCTAGAATATATCCATCAAAATCCCAAAATAATAAGACTTGCCAAATACACGACCATGCATGCAGCACAACTCTCTAGCAAGTTCCTGCATTCCAAACGCATCGAGAAAGATAAAACAATGGAATAAACGAGTGTGCACTTGACAGAAAGTGAATCTAAAATAGTATCTGCATGAGTAGCCTGATGGCGGCAGGGTCACTTTACTCACACATCCGTTCTCGAATTTATCCATCAAATGATTGTACTTGCGTTCAAACTCATCCTGCACACAGTAAATAACATTAGCAGAGGCAAAACAATCAGCTCTTGCACAGCGACCTCTATAAATAATAAATTACAGACACCTGCTATGGAACGAAAATGGAAGGAAAGTTACGCAATGCCTACCCTGTAATACAAAACGGCAACTATTGGTTGGAGTTCTGATCAATTATAACACGAATTGAACGTCAGCTTTCATGTAAAACTAAACGTGTAAGTGATAAGAGTAGTCGTCGTGCGACAGGTATCATGTACATTACCACGCTTGTGGGCAAACCAATTGCAGCAGGCATGAGAGCGCTCAAACCCTATTCAAAGAAAAAGCCGCTGCGCGGATCAAATGTGCATGCAAGGCCATGAAGCTTAAAGACCTCTTCTACATTCGTAGCCCACACGTCCTGCAGATTCTCATCGTCTGCAGGAAGGATGGAAAGCAAATTGTTTTTCTATCTTTCACTTGTGTATATATATAAATGAAGACATCCTCTTTGTATAAACACATCAGATGCGCCGCTTCAGAGATTGAAGAACGTACCCCAGAGAGCTTCTTTATGGAAACAGATAGTGGACCTTGTCATCGTATAGGTCCACTGCAGTTTCTTCGTTACCTGCTGCTGCTCATGGTCTCCATTCTAAACCCTAATTAAATGGGGGGCGCACTCAGACGATCGAGTAATTTACACTCACAAGCAGATGCCGAAGCAGGGGGAGGCGGGCCGGGCCACGAACGATGACAATCCAGTCCATTTGCAATTTCCAAGGTATTCCTTTCTTCCTTTCAGAACCTTCTTTCTTTCCCCTTTTCTGTAATATGCTTTGGTTGTATCGTTTGGTTATTGTGTGGTTGTTAAGATGGAAACTCAAAGTGAGACTCAAAGGTAAATGGGTAAAAAATGGTAAATGAGTTAAAAACGGATAAATATGTATGTAGTTATGGTTAAATGAGTACGGTTAATCGTTTATAAACGATTATGAGTATGGGTATAACAGTTTATACAATTATCTAATCGGTAAACGATTATACAAGTAAAAACTTAAACGGTTATGAGTAAATAACCATGTTTACTCATCTACTATAACTGTTAGCCCATCTCTACGTAACAGTTGATAAAAAACTACCAAAATATAGGTGACACTAGAACTTGCACAAGCCTTTCTCATTGTTTCTGAATTTAATACAATCAAAATGAGATAAGGATGTGAGTAAATACAGTGTCGAGATCTCATATTGCCAGCCCATTTTCAATAGCTTTTTTGGACAAAAAATAATGTTAGTGGATTAACTTGAGATTCGTTTGAGAGTAATTACAAGTCTCAACGATGATTCTTGGTGACACTAGAATTACAGTGCGATAATAATTTTTTTGCTTATAAGTTAAATTTTTTATATAATAAAGTATTAACAAAAAGCATTTAAGGATTTCAAGTTTTGATCCGAAATTATGAATTATGCATTCTATTTTTTAGTCTTAGATGTATTTATAAATTAAAAAACTTATAAAATATATGAACTTACGAATTATGTTCTGAATTTTCGAGATAACTTGAATTCCAAAAATTTTGAGTATCAGGTTTGATTCTAAAATTTTGAAATCAAAATTTTAAAAACTTTTCCTTTCAAAAATCACCCATAATTTTAAATATGTTAGGTTTTAATATATATGTGTGTGTGTATATATATATATATATTTTTTTTTTTAACTAACGATATTATTTATACTAATGAGGAGGGAAATGTGTAGCAAATGGACTATCAATAATGTGGTTTAAATTCGACTTTGACGAGAATTGAACCTAACATTTCACCTACAAGTGGAGAAAAATATCATTAGATTGTAATATTAAGTGACGGTTTTAATATATTTATAGGTCAAGTAATTTAATTTGAAATATGTTAATTTCATTTCCTTTATTTGGGAAATAGATTATTTTCTAATTCCCTCTATTAATTATTATATAAACAAACAGGTTGTTTTCGAAAAAAAAAACAAAAAAACAAAAAAAAAAAACCCTAAATCCTATGGATTTGAGGGCCAAACTTCAAATCTCTCAAACACTTCAATCAGAACAGTCCCCTCCGAGCATCGCCATCTCACCGTTGATCACAAAAAGGCTATCCCAGAAATCCAACGGCCACGCATCTTCGTCCTTCAACATCTCCACCCAAATTTCAAGTTTCCCCTCTGTTCTTTCTACTGTACATCGTTCCCAATCAGCAAAAGGTAACCAGAATCAGATGTTCCTGTCTCGGATTCCGCTATTCCGGTCCTGAATTATCTTCTCCTCGAACGGTAATTTCAACGATCCAAAATTCTCAGTATTTTATTCCATTTTTTGTTGAAATTTGAGTAAAAATTATGGAAAACGAGCTCAATTACTTACTTCAGCTAAGAAAATCACGCGCACACATACATGCAAGTATATTAGCACAATTCTGTGAAGATTTCTGATATTTTTCCTAAATTTTCCTGCATTTTCTAGGCAATTAAACACATGAATGCTACCATCAGCTAACTACACCAACGTTAAGGTGATTTTCCTGCATTTTATGATGCGTAGATAGTATAGAGTTGCAAGTACGTAGTCGAATTCCATAGGGACGGTGATTTAAGTCGAAAACTAACCACTTAACCAACGAGTGAAATTGAAAATATTACCAAACAAGAAAGTTAAGGGAAAATTTGGTTGTGAAAAGTAACACTCAAAAATGTAGTTACTGGAAATTAAAGAAAATAATTAGACAAGTAATAATTAAATTTAAAGAACAAACAATGACGTTAAAGGCTAAGGCATACATTTTCACCGATAACAATCCTATTATGATTCTTAGCCTTCAAGTTTCCATTTAACAATTCCTATGATGATGGTTAAGTTTCTCAACTCTATAATCTAAACATGGTGTATGCGTCAAATTATATACTTCTAATAAGCAACCGAGCATGGTGTATGCCTAGATTAAACAACTTGAAACTCCTTAAGTACGATGGAAACTTTTAGACAACCACACAAAACCCGGAACATGGTGCATGTTTCTAGTAAGTTGTAATCTCAATTTCATAATCATGACAAGAATATAACACGGGTATATGGTTCTAGCAGTCATTAAAACGATCTTAATTCATCGTAGGGATATCAGATTGACAGGATTCCAGCGCAATTGAAAAGAAGACTTACTTAGCTTTCCGGCTATATGTGGTATGCAATCTGGTTCCTTTGGATGAATAAATGGCATCCCACTGAAGTCGCTGGACACAAACTCCCACATTCCAGATTTTCCAAATTTGTTTCACCTCTGGGTTTTAGGCCTCACTTTGATATCTCGGGATCTTCCTTTGAATGTTCACGGACTGTCTTTAATCTCTCAAAACTCCACTTGGCTCAAAAAAATTTCTTTGCATTTAGTCCCACAAATAAACTGCTACTAAAGGATGAAACTATAGATAATCCAAGTGATAAGGTGATAAAAACATGTATAAATATGAGCCTATCAGGACACTAATTCATTTGATTTTTGAATTGATAGACTTTCTGGCATTTTTCGCAACGTGAAGGCGAAAAACGGTGAATTTAGACAAGCTTGTAGAAACAAGTGGTGATCTTGGAACAGTGGTGGTGGTAATTTAGGAGTGAAGAATGGATGACATCAGTGGCAGCAATGCGTCGATGCATATGAGCGATGAAGTGCATTTGCAATACATGCAAGAACATGAGCATCCTCAGGGGTTGCCTCAGATGAGCAATGGGAATGGGGTGGCTGATGATCATGATGATGGAAGTGGTGCTGGTACTGGTGGTGCTGAGCTTTCCGAAGTTAATGTACAGTCTGAACCTGTGAATCTCTCTGATATGAGTAGTGGGATGGTGGACCATAGCGGCAATAATGGGGACCAGCTCACATTGTCATTTCAGGGTCAGGTTTTTGTGTTCGACTCTGTGTCACCCGAGAAGGTGATTTGATTGATTCTCTCGAAGTTTTATGCTCAATTTGTTATTGTTTTCTCTACATTATAGTGTGTGTTTGAAGCATTGATTAGTAATGGTTATGCATAAATGAATAAGTTCAAGTTATTTGGTTTGATGCACATTTCTGATCTCTTTTGATTGCATAGTAGTGTGCACACATGAATACGAGGTTTTAAATGACTTGCTGAAATATTTGATTTAGCATGGGTGCACAGATGGTAAGATGGGAGTCTATTGGCGGACATGGCCATACATAATAAATAAAGTCTTACTAGTTCTCTATTTAAAACCAGATTGTTCACTGAATGGACACTTATGAAGTATGATATCATAAGCTTAAATGGACTTATGTTGTTGATACACAAGTTCAGCCAGCTATCTACTTTTAGGAGTGCCATGTTTTTAACTTTCTGGTACATGTTTCAGGATTTTGCATATGGGAATCTGCAATCTTTTGAATATTCCTTTGGTAACTTGAAATATATTATTTGTTTCGTTGCGGCTAAGAAAAAGCGTTTGAGTTGTTTTGAGCTACCTTCCTCAGGTTCAAGCTGTGTTGCTGCTATTGGGGGGCCGTGAAGTACCTCCGGGCATGCCTGCCGCTCCACTAACCACCCAGCATGATAATAGGGTATTTGTACTTATGTAAAGTGGTTTCTTGAAAGCCGTTTGTTCTTGAAAGCCATTTGTGTTTTAGTATCTTGCTAATAAAAAATTCAACCAGGCCCTTACTAGTATTCCACAACGGTTGAGTGTCCCTCAAAGACTGGCTTCACTTATTAGATTCCGTGAAAAACGAAAAGAAAGAAATTTCGACAAGAAGATTCGTTATACTGTTCGCAAAGAGGTAGCTCTTAGGTAGGGCATTTGTGTTTTAATATTCATTGAATTATGCAGAAAACTATCTCAAATTTTGCAGAATTCTTGTTCTTTGCTGTACTTTATGGCTTCAATCTAATATCATTGGTGGAAAACTGTTAAATGGTTCCAATTATGTATAGATTCAAATGGTTAAGCGGTTTGCAAACCAATAGCTATTGCATACTAAATGGCCTAAATACTACTAGAGATGCTAGGGTGTTGATTATGAACAGCAATTCCACGGACTTAATGTAACTTAAATTTAGGCAACAATATGTAACAACTAATAAGGCAGTTCCTCAATGTTAGTTTGTAAATTTGTGAATTTAAGCAGTACATGTGGCATCTAATGATGTATATTACATGTGTAAATTGAAAGTGTTAAAGTTAAGTAGTTTCTTTATTGTACTTTTTCCCTTCTTTTGTTGCCATGTTTTCACTCTGTTTGTTGTTTACTCATTTCTGAATGGTTGTCATTAATGAATGAATTATGATGCTACGAAAAATTTTGGTGCTCGTAATGATTACTATTGTTCTGACTGTTGTAGGATGCAACGAAAGAAAGGTCAATTTACATCTTCTAAGCCCAACAGTGATGATTCTGCATCAGCTATCACAAGTTGGGGCTCAAACGAGAACTGGGGTCAGGATGGTAATGGATCCATTCCCCAAGAGGCTGTGTAAGGCAACATGTTTTACTCAAATTTCTTAACGTCTGCAATGTTAGATTTAAACTGGGAAAGGATATAGATGTAACATATTGAGCTCGCGGAAACCTGCTGAAGTGCACTTATTATGATATGCTAGCAGGCCCAAATAGTCTTGAAGAGCTCTTAGGTGCATATGCATCACCAGTGAGCATGCAGTGAAAAGTGCATACTGTTGTTGTTTTCAATGTTATAAGCTCTACTGGCTAAAGAGCATTTACGCCACCATCTGAGGCCCCGAGTTTGAATTTCCCCTCCCCAAATAATGTTTCATGAAAAACTACATAGCATTTGGATCGTTGTTGTTAAAAAACACATTAAAAACTATTTGAACTCATTTTTTGTACCGCGGATTTATTGCCAGCTGTCGACACTGTGGCACCAATGAGAAGTGTACACCAATGATGCGACGTGGACCGGATGGACCAAGAACCCTTTGCAATGCATGTGGACTAATGTGGGCAAACAAGGTAACTACCAGTGACTTGTTTATTCGCCATATGTTGATGTTGGTTTATGTATTTATTTAATAATGGTGCTTGGTAGTATATTGCATATTATACAGTCCTTATGGTAATTGAGAAGATACTAAGATTCAGTTCCATACGCCCAATATGCAATTGCATTTACGGACAACACACAGTTTTTGTTTGTATTACTTTCTTAGTGGGAGGGGAGGGAGGTTTTTTGGGGTGTATAGGCTCATGATGGGGATGATTTCTGGAATGGATAAGCTGGGTTTCTTTGGATCATATAGTCCTGGGTGGTGTGTGCTTTATTTTTAACAAGTTGAGTTTTGGTTTTGAACAATTGAATGAGTAGAATGAATGACTAGGAGTATGAAGGATTTTGATAGGTTTAGGGAAACAAAAGCTAAGAAACTGCAAACTGCTCAGTTAACTTGATCTAATTTAGGGATAGATTGATGTGTGCTCTAAAATGGATAGATTTCATTTCTCACCAAATTGGGGAGGAGGAAACTAGAATGTTAGAGATTTAGAGAAGAAGCCAGTTTATAGTTTTGTCAAACCGCTGTTCTATTATGTGGTTAGTAATCATTTTAGGTGTAGTCTCTACCCTTTACAATTTAGAATACGTGATCTCATTATTCAGGTTCTTAAACAATAATTTTAAAGTAGGAGTGGAAGGGGTAAACAAGAAGTTAAAACTGTGGAACATAGAAATTTTGGGTGAATCATATTCAGGAAGGAAAGAAATGAGTTATGAAATTGTTTCAAGGAGGTGGTTTTAAAGGAAGAAATTTATTTGGGGGTTTAATGTTTAGTTAGTCCGTCGGTGTTTCCGGATGTATTTTGTTATGAAAAATGTAATGTATCTAGGGATGTTAACTATTCTGTCAACATTTATACGGAGGCCTTTGTTACGTTTAGCATTTTTTAACATTTACAAGGAAATATTATCTATTAATTGCACTTAAACTTCAACTGCTGTATTTAATTGTTCTCGTCGTTGCCTCTATGAACTATAGGGAACTCTAAGGGACCTCTCCAAGGCAGCACCCCAAGCAGTACAAAACCCTTCCACGAGTAGGAATGAAGACTCCAAACCTGATTTATAAAACGTATGCTTCGTTCCTATGAAGATTTTGAGATGTACATAATGGTATTCGATTCCACCATGCTTGACTTTTTTTCCTTCTCTTCTGCCTTTGCTTGTTTTACAGAATTGAAATTTGGAGGCCAACGGGGTCCTTAGAATTCCGGGAAGGTAAACGGCCGTGAGAGTCCCTAAAAAAGCGGAGCCTTGCGTTCGAAGTAAGTATGGAAGTTCTCATTTAATCTTCCTTTAGATGTGTTGAGTCTGTCTCGCGGCACTGCACGATGTGCCCATAGGATTTTCCTGAACCTAAATTAAACTATACGTTTTGACATCGGTTTCCATCTTCTTGCCCTTGATGACATTGCTTGAACGAAGTAATTGTCTGTAAAACTGAACTTTGAACTTTTTATCTGATGATCAAACAGCTGTTTTAGTTAAATAAATTGATTTCTTGACAACACACACAGACACACCCACGAGCTTATAGTTACTTCATATATTTATCATTCCTTGGAGAATTATTGTAGTACGGTCACATGGTATTATCAATTAACTCATGTTTATGACACGTGAATTTATCGATACAAGGCTTTAGGTCCATGAGTTCGTGGCATTTCAATTTTGTCGTTCGTTCATATCATAATATGTAAATTAATTAGTAACACTGCCTGGTAGTAGATTAGTAACACCCTTTTGAGAGTAATTGCACCTTGGATTGCCGTATACTTACATTCTTTGTAATTTTGAATATTTTGGAAATTCCTTTACTTAGAGAAATTTATTCAAACACTCGGAACACATTGCTTCATGTGTAATTATATATATTATCTTCACTTATATTATGACACATGGTATATTTACTCAGTGTTCTGAATACTTATAAAAATCTCTCATTTACTTGGTGTGTTAGTTGTTACACTTGTTAGACCATCTTCAACATTTGGATTAAAACCTAAAATTTTTAACTCAGAAAATTTAGGGCTTGTTTGGTATTCTATTTGAAATTTTTTATAATTTCTCAAAACATTTCTTAAGAATTTTTCTTGAAAACAATTTTCTTTAAAACTCAAAAACTTGTTTGGTATGCAATTTAAAAATTTTAAATTTTACAACTTAAACTGGACAAAGAGATCCAAAAAGAGGGGGTCGAGAAAGAAAGATGAGAGAGGAGAAAAGAAAGTAAGAGATGATCGGAGGAAAAAGAAAGAAGTGAGAGGATTAGAGGATATAGAGAGGAAGAGGAGTGAGAGAAAAAACCGAGAGAATGAAGAGAACGGATTGGAGGAGAGACGAAAAAGGTAAAAAAAAAAAAGAGAAGGGGGAGAGAGAGAGGAAAAGAGAGATAGATTTGAAGTGAGAGGAAAGCAGAGAGAAAATAAATGAGTGAGTTCAAGTTTAAAAACTTTAAAAACTCACTTTTTGTGTTTTTAGAAAATCGACTACATTTTTTAGTTAGTCTTGAATTCAGTTTTTGAAAATAGTCTTACCAAATAAGTTTTTAAAGCCTAAAACTTGAAAATTGTTTTTGAGTTTAAAAAGTTGGATTCAAGTAGAGTACCAACATGCTCTTAGGTTTTAACTCATAAATAGTTTTTCTCATCCAATCCTTATGCGTTAGATTTTTAACCTGAAATTATTAAAGAATGATTTTAGAATAATTTTTTATAAGTAATTTAAAAAAAATTATGTAGACTATCCAAATTTAATTCTATGAACATTATAGCCTAAAAATATTTAGATTTCGGTAATTATTGAAAAATTATTAAACCAATCCTATGAAAATCATGGAATATTATGAAAGAATATGAACACATGAAATATTTTTATTTTTTTATAATTATTTTAGCCGTTGTTAAATTTGAACTTAGGGTTAGAGCAAGTTAGGGTAGGTATAGAACTTAAAATCTAAGTTTTACTTTAAAGGTTGTAGTAAGTATAAGGTAAAAGTTTTAAAAAGGACTATTTGGACAAATGGGTCAGAAAAGGTTTTCAGTTCTAGGTCCCTTATTTGCAGGGATTTTCCTTGCCAACAAGTTCCTCTCCGATCCTCACCAAGAGAATCATGAGGATTCGTAAATCGTGTCCGTTCATCATATATTGTGCAGTCAGTCTTTGTCAGGTACTGTTTGTATTTAATTTTAAATGAAAATACTGAAAATGATTTTTGACTACACGATGTACGATGAACGAATATGATTCACGGATCCCTGAGATCCTCACAGCGAGGATCCGGATTCTTTTCCTTGTACTCGAATTCTCGTCATATTGGTTATGTGTCTCATTCTCATTGGTGGGGAACTATTTGGCCAAAGATTGACAATAATTTTTGGGGAAATTTTATTTAAACCCATTTAACCTATTTATACACCCAAATTACTCTTTGCACCTATTTGATTTTTAACTAAATTATTATTATCTCTTTAAACCCAAATTTAATACCTAAAATAACCCCATAAACCCAATTCATTATGTAGATTTATTTTTATACCCATTAGATTTTTAAGTCCCGCTTCAACAGATGGAAAATTGAAATCGAAGAAGAAGACAGGCTGAGGTTCTTGCAGAAAGAGATGCAGGGTCTTGTTCCTGGGAGCAGTAGCGGAGCCAAGGTAAGGGCAATGTTGCAATGGAAGCCATGCAAAGGCGCGGACTTTGGGCCGACTTCGTCTTCTACTCCGAGCTCGTCAAGTGCTGCTTGGCTCGGCGAGCTGTTCAGCAGGGTAAGCTCGTCCACAAGCACGTTTTCTCAAATGGGTACCAGCCCAAGACCTTCTTAATCAACGTTTTCATTAACATATACGTTAAATTTGCTCTCTTGGAAGAAGAGCAGGAACTGTTCGACGAAATGCTTGAGGGAAACGTTGTTTCCTGGACGACTATGATATCGGGATACTCAAATTCCAAACTCAACCACAAGGCCTTGGAGTCTTTGGTTTTAGAAGCTAAATTCGATGCGTTTAGACCTAAGTTTGAGAGGCCTTTTTGTTGTTTTTGTATTGAAATGGTTGAATTGGAAAATGCCCAGAAACCATTGTGATTGTTTATTTCGTTTTTGGGATATGGGTTTTCCACGACTGTCTCTGATCTTGTAAACCCAGAAAGCGATCTTCGATAAAAAACATGCAATAGGGTTCTCAAACTCAATGGAGAACCCTATCCGTTGAAATGGTTGAATTGGAAAATGCCCAGAAACCATTGTGATTGTTTATTTCGTTTTTCGGATATGGGTTCTCAAACTCAATGGAGAACCCTATCCATTGTGATTGTTTATTTCGTTCTCGTAAACCCAGAAAGCGATCTTCGATAAACAAACATGCAATAGGATCTTGGATTTATTGATAAATTTGAGTTTTATGATTAATTTCATTTTGTACTTAATAGTAATTATGCAATAGGGTAACATATATAATTAACATTTAAAATTTTAAGTTAGGTGTAAAAAGAGATTGAATGGGTTTAAATAAAATTTCCCTAATTTTTGTTAAAAAAATTGTACTACTGTTTTTTTAATAAAGATGAAACTCACATGTGTTTGCCGATCCATCTCTATTAAATAAATAATACAAATAATGATACAAATAGAGAATAAGTATAACATTATTCTGGTTTGTTTGAGATATACTTTCTACTCCATAAAATTATCGAGGAATTCTTGCACAACAAAATAGTTTGTCACCGATTTCTGAATCTTCGTGTTTATGGTGTCACGTTTCGAACGTCCAGGATATGAGACATCGATACTAATTTGATAATGTCGCATTGTCTCACTTTGTCCGTTTACATTTGCATTAAAGATAATCTATTAGTTTAACGTTGCGGCACATAGTTTATTAATTTATATTAAATATGTCAAGAGAGCCCGTTTAATTTGCTTACATGGCATGTGCTTTATTCATTTATTTTTTCATCTACATAAAGAAATTAACGATCACTTTCTCAAATTATAAATCCTTTAATTTTGTTGATCTGAGAAAAGTATTCACCCTTCCACTCAAATCATAAATCCTTTAATTTTGTTGATGTGAGAAAAGCATTCACCCTTCCACTCGTCGTGAATTTATGTATCATAAATAAATAAAACTTCCATTACGTTTGCTTATATGGCGGTGTTATCTTTTTGCCTACATGTCAGCCACGTCGGATCTACCTGGAAACAAAATAAGAAAAATCCACGTCATTTCCCTCCGGTTTCTAATTAAACAGGGAATATCCATGTCAGATTCTAATTCCCCCTCACCCGCTTGTCTTTTGCTTTTTTACTATTTGAGCTTTTTCCCCCCTTCGATTCTTCATCTCTCTCACCACCAAATCCCTAATTCAATTCCGCCGCCATCAAATTCCATGTCGACCGTCCAAATCAACCGCTCCGCCGCCAATTCCGATGTCCGATTTTCGAAGCAAACAACCGCCCTAGCCAAACCCGTGATCCGAGAAACCCCAAACCCACCCCGAAACCCGAGAATCCAACCAAAGCTTGTGCGGATCATACACGCCGACGCCGACGCAACCGACTCCTCCAGCGACGACAACGAGGACAGCGTCGTGCCGACGGTGAAGCGTCGCGTCAGAGAGATCAACCTTGAGGTCTCTTCGCCTTCCTCTGCTTCGTCTTCTCCGCCTTGCTCCGGTCGTCCTAAGCTGTCCAAACGAGCCAAGCTGCAACCGAAATCGGGCCCGGACCGCCGGAAGGGGTTCGTCGGCATCCGGCAGAGACCATGGGGCAAGTGGGCTGCGGAGATTCGAGACCCGAATCAGGGAAAACGGCTTTGGCTCGGAACCTTCGACACGGCGGAGGAAGCTGCGGCGGCGTACGACAGAGCTTCGCTGATGCTCAGGGGCCCTCGTGCAGTCACTAACTTTCCTGGAGCTGGGGAGACGGTGGTCGCTGATGAGGTGGTCGCCGCTGCGGAAGTGGGCCATGGGGAAGGAGGAGGAGCAGTCGCCGCCGTGGGTGGAGGAGAGGGGGCCGCAGATTGTCTTTAATCTTATTCCCTCCTTTTTAAAATTAGAATAATTATTAAAAATATAATTCGAATTTTGTATTATATTGTGCTTCGTACGGCGCCAAACTAATTTAATCTTCATCTTATCCGAAAATTAAAAATTAACATATCGTTGACGGATTGACTAACCAACAAGCGACCGACGGCTTTGACCAAATAAAGAAAACAACCGACTCAAGTGAGACAAAGCGAATTTGCCCCAAAAATAGAAACACAAAGCTAGTTTCAGGAATAATGTAATTAAGGAAAATCATTTACCGAAACGAATCAAGTTTATGTGATATTTAAATTATAATTTCAACTTTGAAGAGCGATATATGATTAATTCTTAAACTAATTAATTACATGACTAATATTTCGTGCATTAAACCTTGAGCATATAAGTACTTGTACCTAATACGTACTTTTTTCTCCAAAAAATGAGAATTCAAACTCGGACTTTTTTTTCGATATTGGAATGAGAAGTAGTCGAAGCAAATTACAATACGCTTTTTTGTGATGAGTTCATCTAAACGTTTAAACAGATTGTCAAAGTTGTGTCTGGCCACAAAGGATGAAACCATGAATAAGGGTCTGAGCAGCACGCGTTTTATCTGGAGGTCCGGACACGACAACCAGGGTTTCCAACGATCCAGGTTTTGAATCGTGAACAATCACATGTGCGCCTGAGATCTGGAATGATTTGTACCCATGAAAACGGACGCGTTACAACACAGTTCAGCACTTCATTGCCAATCTTGAGCGCAATGATATCAAACTACAAAGAGGGAATATAACCAACCTGCCGGATCTGGCTCAGATTACCGTTGTTCTCTCCATGAACGTGAGTTATCAACGTCTGAGGAATCGTGATCTCCACTGTTGTGCTGGTTAAGTAAGGTTGTTGACTTCCACTGCTTAAGTACAATTTGCAGAAGAAGTTAGAATGCACAGTAGTAGGCAGTAGCAGTATCACATGCTTTTATCTTCTTGTTAGCATGGATAAAATTGCAGAGAAATACAACTATTTATTTTCAGGACAAATTCAAATCAGATTTATGTGTCCAGTCAATTTTACCCAAATATTATTACTAACAGGGGGTTCATAATGTCGCAAACGTACGATAACTGAATTCCCTGAGGTAAAATAACATGGCGAGTATTGACAGCATGTAGTGCGCTCTAGTAATAAAATTTACCCCATCTAATCACGAAACACTTGGACTTCAATAGCAGACAACAAATGTTTCCAGGGGATAAGAAATATTACCTTCGTCGAGACCCATTTCTTGAAGCCAAGCCTGAACCAACATCAGCAGCTCCTCTAGGGGTCCCACAGCTTACTCCCTAGAAGTATCGACTCAATTTGGTTTAACAAAAATATTAAAGATCACTGGTGATAGATTGAAACCCCCTCCATTATTGACCAAAAAAAAATAAAAAAAATAAAAAATATGTAACTATTAGGTTGTTCAAAGTGTAAGACACCCACCTGGGGAGTCCAAGCCCTTGGAGAAGGACTCTCAAATGTTGGACCATGTCCTGGTCGCTCATTACCAAAAGAATAGGGAACTCGGTCCATGTGGGCTGGACCGTTGTGATCCATACCATGAGAAAATGAAGGCTGATGATCAGGAGTTTGTGATGGAAAAGCAGAATGATCAATTCCATGATGGAATCCAGGTGAAGGATAGGGACCAGGGGAGGCTGGGTTATGCCTCGGTCTAAAGGAGGGGGGAGGCATCTCGGGAAATGGAGACATATAGGGCGGGCCACTGAAATTAGCATAAGGGGGTCTCATAGGGAAAATTGTTTCCCGAATCCTACTTGTTATATGAAAGAGTGCATCCTGTACAGAAGGCAAGCTTCCAATAACCTGCCATAAAGCACCAAGAGGTTATTCTTACTGTATTTAGCAAGAATAGGATTCATAAATGAAAACCTGTGGACCAAAAACAATTGACAGAGAGAAGAAGATTGATATTTATGCAATTAGATCAAAACACATAAACTATGTTACTAGTACACTTCTGAACCAAACGAGTGTTTCAAATCCAGTAAATCAATCGACTGTTAACATAAGTCTAACAGCCAATCACTTTATCCGGCACAGAGACATCATAATGGACTCTGACAAAATTCAATCCAAAAATTAAGGTAGATTTTATCGTTTAATATTGTCTGCCTATCTTCCTGCAGAAACACACAATATCATTACTTAACTAATCTGATTATAATTAAATATCACATTTCTAATGATGTGGTCGGCCAGTCTACACAAAGGATGGCAGACCGGAAATCTAAACAGACATTGACCTGGGCAGATTTAACCTCCTACCAGGTCTGATCTTCAACTTCTCCAAAGCTCTTTTAATAAAAAATTAAACTTTCATTGCATGATACGTTTTCTCTACTACGTCAACAGCCCACGAGCTTTTTTTAGTAAATGCAAAAAAGTTTACCTTCTTAGTTGTTTGCAGATAAAGCAGAAAAGTTAATTCCAATTATACTCTTAACAAAATATCAATGAGTATCAAGCACCACTTGGATTAGTTTACGACTTCCAATCTCCCAACACTTTCATAAAAATTTTACCAAAACCAGATATATCTGGTATAAATTTTCAGAGGGAAACAAATTGAAGATTAAACACCGCGAAAAACGGAAGGAATGTGGGTTATAATAATGTCTGCGGCCAATATAAGCTTAATATACCTGTACAACTTCATCATTTTGGTAGCTACCCTTCTGGACTTGTTCCTTTGGAAAAATTCGTATACTAGCACCAGTAGCTCTTCTCATTTCTGTAATAATGAAACCTCCTTTACCCAATAAACAACCTATCTGTTGTGGATGTACAAGAAGCCTAGCAACCACTGCAGCACCAGGTTCAAACCCAATCTCTGCAATTCGATGATGTGCACGAATAACAGCTTCCTGTGCCGGGGAATATTTTTGCTCTGGATTCTGCAATGAACTTCCAACATTAAACTTGAAATCCTTTCGTTTTGTTTTATTTTAATTTTATGGTATCAGGAACCAAACATAAAATGTACAAAATGTTTCTGTAAGTAATGATAAAATGGCAAGGCAAATACAGTTGGCCTCTAGTACCTCTTGTGCAGATATGATAACAACCCGCTCATCTGAATCAGGTGCACAATCAGCAATCTTAATTGATGCACCAGTTTCACTTTGCATAGTCCGAACAATGGAGCCACCCTTCCCTATCAGACTGCCAACCTTATCAACATGACATAGCAACTTGAATACCACCTCTTCTTCCATAGCCATCCTGTGACCACGTCCAATATTTTCAGTCCCGGGATTAGAAGAATAATTCCTTGAGTGATAATCTGACGCATTAAAGCCAGGCCCAAAGCCCCGATGAGCAATAGGGTCAACTTGTGCAGGCATACCAGTTCCGTGAATCGATCCCCCTGAAATTTTGGTAGCACCAGAGTTAGCTACATCTTCCTTAGGGTTATCCTGAAGACAACCTGAAACAGACAGAAGTGCTTTCTTCACTGCTGAAAAGTCTCCTGTTATCTGCGTATCAAACCAACATGAATAAAGCCCTAAGTAATACATTAGCACAACAAAAACCTAACATGTTATTTGCACCCCTGCAGTAGGTGAAGCATGCTTCCCTCGTAGTGTTAGCAATCATTGTCCTGTTTGTCTTTATTCACCCTTTTCTGCCCTTGGGCAGGTTTTGAGTTAAAGTCCTACCATCTTTGCCTGGATGAAACATCCTAGTAATGTAGTTTTACCGAATATTCATAATGTGGTCTTCCTCATTGATGCAAATGTTTAATAAGATATGAAGAGCACTCACTCACATTTATGAAACATATACTTAGCAAAAGAAAGAAAATAAATCAATCACATTTTAGAAATTTAGCATATAAATCATGAAATACAGAACTTCTTGCACTTGCTTCTCACACCAACACATAATATGCATGGACATGTGGTTTAAGTCTAAGCGCGAATATCTAGTACATCAATGTGCTGAGAAAAACTTCGGTGGGACTATCTAGTACATCAAATTATGCATTGAAATTCGAACTGAGAAACTTCTTCTCCGTCTCAACACACAATGATGCTTAGTGGTTAGTCATACCATATTAGCCATGATGACGGGGTATGAGCGCCAGTTCTACATAAGTTCCGGCGTTAATGTAGTTCCTCAAAACTGTTATATACCATTTTAAGAAACCACACAATATTACTACTTGCATCATTAAAAAAAACTCATAGTAATTGCAACGAGTAACAACTACAAGAATCTCAAAGATTGTGCATTGATCGCCAAAACAAAACAGACAGAGCACATAAAAAAGGGAATAAGCTACCTAAAGAGCACAACAATTACAAAGTACCAACATTTCTATCATGTCCAATGCAAGTAAATGAAAGCAATCGAAACCCAAAAAAAAGAAGCATTCTTTACCTGAATCAACTCATCTGCAGGGGATGCACACGGCGGAATCTGGTCTCTGGGCAAAACCCTAACGTGGGCTCCACTCTCCTGCCTAATCTTCTCCACAATCTTGCCCCCTCTCCCAAGCACACACCCAACCTGGCTGCTTGCCACCAGCAACCTACAACACACCAAGCCGCCGCAGCCGCCGCTATTACCCTTTTCTGCTTCACCGGCGTCGTCAACCGTTACCTTCCCGAACACCCTAACCAGGGCTTGCTGGGCAGGCGACCTTTCTGCCTTGTCTAGGGTTTGGGCGGCGTTATTGGGCGATTGGGCATTTGGTTCGGCGAAGATGAGGACGACGCACTCGTCGCCGCCATGGGTTGGGTGTTCGATCCGGACCTTGGCGCCAGGGGTGGAGCCCAGTTTGGGGATGAGGGCGGCGGTTTTGGAGGATGGGCAGAGCAGGCGGAAGAGGGCGGCGGCTTCCATCGATGATCGAGGTGGTCGCTAAGTCTGTTAGTCAGCAAGCTGCAGCAGCCAGCATCACACTCTCTCACTACATTAACTGGGATTAGTCCAAAACGAACGAGAAAGGACAATTAAAGCTTATATATTTTAACCCAGAAATTTAGTGGAAATTTAATTATTTTATTTGTTGTTTTTTTTTTTTTTGGGTAAACATTTGTTGTTAAGAAAATACAAACTTGTTTGGGCCCAAAATAATAGTTTGGGCCGAGGGTAGGATCACTCTCGGCCCAGGAGGCCGGGCGGCAAAAGGGTCATGGATCGGTCAACCCGTGGGAGTCCAAACCTAGAGCGGTTAGGACAAGTCCTAGTGCAATGAGGAGTCTCGACGGGATCGGATATCCAGAAAACGAATCCAGCTTAGCTAAGGACTAGATTCATAGTCCTAGTAAATATAGGACTGGTCGAGGTGATCCAGAGAGGGAAACCTAGTCCGAGTAGGATTTAAACTCGGACTCAAGGATCAGTACTATAAATAGGGGACGTTGTGCACCAAGTGAAGCCCCCTGCAAATCAATACAAAATTGCCTTGCGCAAATTCTCACAACTTGTGATTTTTCTTTTTCCTTTTTTCGCTGACACATCAACAGCCTGTTGGCATCAACAGCACTGTGGAAGCAACCGGTGATATCTTAAGTCGGCATAGATAGCTCTGTCACCGTAGAATCAGTTGGTCTCGCAGTATCTTCCGTTGGCATCAACAGCACTGCGGCGAGAACGATTGATTATCTATCCAAGTCTCGGTCGAGAAGGATTTCTGAATCCTTGTTGGGTCGAGGTCATCTCATCAGCCTTCTCGGCCGAAGAAGTGAGGTGTTACAAGTGACTACATTCGGCACGTTGAAAGCCGAATTTGATATTGAGCTTCGTAAAAATAGTAACCTTGTCTTCAGGTTCGAGAGCCCAAGAGGCCGAGACGTGTTCCTTTCTCGGCCGCAATCGCAAGACGCAGAAGTCAGTAGCGCGACCCAACGCAACAACATCAACAAATTTACTCCTCGGCCGAGCTCAGCCGACGAGTTGGCAAGCCGACGAGTTGGGGCCCCGCATTCACCCGAAGGAGTTAGCTCTATTAATTACTCGGCCTGCGCGCCACGTAGGCTTTGTAGTTTTTAGGGTCAACATTTTGGCACGCCCGGTGGGACCCAGTGCTAAACTACGAAGTTCATGCCAATTGAAACACGATCGGTAAAAAAGAAAACAGCTATGGGAAAGTCGACAGCCGATTTGCCGAGTCAGAGCATAGGACAGAGTGTGCCACAGGCGCAGAATCCCCTTAGCGCTGGTACGCCTGAGTCCACGAGCGCGCGACTCGCCGAGAGAGAGAAGTTAATCTCGGCGGTCAACTCCGTGGTTCAGAGATCCCTAACAGGAACACATGCGTTCTCAATGAAGGGATAGTAGAGGAGTGTGACGAGGATGGTGGTGAAGGATCTGACCCACCAACGAGGTCGTTTCTCCGAAAGCGACTAGACGAGCAATCTCGGTCAGTCGAGCAGACGTTCAGTTCAGAGGCATTGACAAGCTGCATGACATGACAAGCTGCATGATGCAATACTCAGTTCCAATGACCGACAAACCAGGTTGCTCGAGATGCTGGTTAGTAAAGTTGGGGGCAGCAGGCCTTTCGAGCTTCTCCAACATTGTCCACCAGGAAACAACCCGGTACCGATTGTACCGGCCGAGCCTATTCCTGTTTCCGCGCTCAAACCAATTAACTTGGAAAAAGGAGGAGGGTCGAATAGTAGGTCGGACGGAACCGACCAGAGGATCGAAGCAACACCTGTTGATATGACCGAAGAAGTTCAGCGGATGATCGACTCGGCCATGAAGAAAGGGCCGAAGTTTCCCAAGTTTATTCATCCGTACCCAGCTTACGTGGAAACGTTTGGATACCCGAAGGGTTTCAAGATCCCAGATTTAGTTCTTTTTGCCGGTGAATCGTCCCTGTCTCGTTCGTTGGAGCACGTGGCTCGTTTCACCGCGCAATGCGGAGATGTTAATAGTGATTTCCACAAGTTACGGCTGTTCAATTTTTCATTGACCGGCTCGGCATCCCGGCATTTGCCTGGTAACAATCAATCTCTCTCTCTCCTAATTCCGTCCAAAACTGGGAGAAGTTGGTCGAGAAGTTCCACGAGCAGTTTTTATCGGCCTGGGATGGAGATGTCAGTGTCTCTTCATTGGCACGGGATGGCTCAGGCATCTGATGAGTCACCAATGGATTATCTTACTAGGTTTTAAATCAGCTAGGAATTGGTGCCGAGTGCCTTTACCCGAAGTCGAATTTGTCAGGGCTTGCTTTGAACGGCCTCGACGTCGAATACAAAAAGAAATTCCTGGGGGTAAATTTTCGTGATATGTATGTAGATTATATGCCCAACATGTCGAGCAGTACGATTATTTGCTCCGTGAGGAAAATTTCGAAGACTCCAACTCGGGGGACGATTTACAAGAATCCTACTGTTAATTATGCATCGACCGAGGATGAATGCGTTAGTGTGGATGCGGCTGAGATAGTGATAGATAAGCCATACGTTTGCAAGGCATTGACTCAGGTTGATTCTAGAGAAGCCAAAAGTCGCTCGGCCATTGAAGGAACATTGAAACCGCCAAAGGTTTATACTTTTGATATTACCAAGGCTGACGCAATTTTTGACCAACTGTTATCAGCAAGAATCATCAAGCTTCGGCCTGGTCATAACATTCCTAAGGCCGAAGAACTTAAAGGAAATGTGTATTGCAAATACCACAATTCGAGCAAACATACGACAAACAATTGCGTTGTATTTCGCGATAACGTCCAAAGCTGGATTGATACTGGCAAACTGAAGTTTCCCGAGAAGAAGATGAGTGTTGATACTGATCCGTTCCCCACGACAACAGTAAATATGGTCGACGCGTACCTACCCAAGGACAAAGGGAAAGGCAAGGCCGAAGTGGTGGAGACGCAAACGCCCGCGCGGAGTCAGAATTGTCGGCCTCGGTTATGGGGTTCATGGCCGATTTTCGTTCAAACAAGCCACCTACGGTTTTAACGGGGCCTGCTATTGTCAAACCTATGATGGATTATAACACCAATGAAGATAGTGGGGCGGCGGTTTTGTGCGGGAAATGTAGAGCGAAGGTCGACAGTGAACCAGAGGAGAAAGCCCTCTTCGCAACTTGTGGCCACAACTCGGCCAAAGGTAGTCAATGAAGGCCAACATCATGGGGTTTTTGAGAGGCTCGGTCCTAAAGTACGGATGGAAGAGACACCCCCTGTCAGGCGGCGCCTCGATTTTGATGCTTCATTCTATGACGATGATTACTATATACTAAGCGTAATTCTAGTAGTTCAGAAATCATCGCGGAGCCAAAAAAGACCTTCAAGCCTCCCGAGCCTAGAGATCAACGTTGGTAATACATACCATTCTTCGAAGGGCGTCTACACCGCGCTATCCAAATCTCAGAAAACGCCGGCAGCAAAAAGATTGCATGGCTCGCCGACGAGCAGCCCAGGAAACTTCGGCCCCTAAGTGGCGGCCAAAAGGACACAGCTGCCACTGATGATGATGAGCGACGCCCACCTCCAGCAATTATGATAGAGTTGGCTCAGGGGAAACGGCTGGGCTGGTCGATCAAGATGTGTGAGAGACCATGTTTGAAGACGCTGATAAACGGATCAAACTTCTCATTTCGACCAGGGGAGATGAAGGCACGCCTTGAACATTTCAGGCAAGAGGCCGAAAGCAAATTATACCCACCGGCTATACCAGAACCTTTGGTCAAAATTTGACGGAATTTGCATCCCCCATTCCTTGGGGAGTCTTTGGAGTATATGCGAGAATTTCATAAGAAACATTCGGCCAACGATCTGTATGGTTTGCCGAAGGCATGCCAGGACACCATTGATCTGGTCCTGACTTGCCCGGATGCTGAGCGGATCATCCAGAAAACCTCAGATCCAGGATTGAAAGCAAGGTTCCAGCACATCGAGAAGCTCCGAGTCCTTGAAGCTCGTGTCCTTGGATTTGAAGTTGACCCCATACACCCGATATCAATGCAGCCGACCTTCCTTTCTCGCTGGAGGGACCTTCAATATTTGCGATATCACTTTGAAGTATTTTTCAGCAGTTTCTCTCTCTTCGGCCTTACTACGACCGATGAAATCGCACGTATTGCCCTTCTGGATGCTTATCTCGACACTAGGGATGCTCGGCTACACTACCAGGATCAGGTTCAGGTCTTGATCCCAAGTACATTGTCAATCTCGCCTGAGGCGGTCACGCAGAACCAACCTGTCGCCGAAGCAGCTCCGCCGGTTGACGTCGTCGAAGAAGGGACAGAAGAGTCTCGTTGTCCGACTTTGACAACAACTGAATCCGTAGTCGCCGACCAGCCAAATGAGGAGGGTCTTGACCAAATGGGCCCGTCAGTCCTGGATAATATGGAAATTAGTATGGTTCATGTGTTACCTGCCGATTTTCAATCAAGCACGGCTCAACCAAATTTCCTCGATGGAGATGTGGTTGCCGAAGAACCCGGCTATATTGATTTTGTGTCGATTGCTGAAGGTGAGTCAGCAACGAAAGATGATGGTTTAAAGGCTGCCTTGGCCGAATTATTCCCTCGTTCATCGTCGGCCAAGCTTCACCATTTAAAGCCATTGTATGTGACGGCCCACATTGAAGGATATCCAGTTTCTAAAGTTTTTGTCGACTGTGGGGCTACCGTCAATATCATGCCTCTGAACATCATGAAGGCCTTACACCGTTCGAATGACGAGCTTATTCCGTTAGGAATCACAATGAGTAGTTTCGTCGGCGACAAATCCCAAACCAAAGGTGTACTTCCGTTAACTGTGAATATTGCTGGTCGCACCCACATGACCGCCTTTTTCGTGGTTGATTCCAAAACCGAGTATAATGCATTGCTTGGCCGAGATTGGATCCATCAAACCAGTTGTATTCCTTCGTCGTTGTATCAAGTGCTTGTCTTTTGGGACGGCAAATCGATCACTGTTCACCCGGCCGATAGCCAGCCCTTCGAAGCGAACATGATCCAAGCCCGGTATTATGATGAC